CCAACGTCCCTAACTTACCCATGACAGCACCGGGGGCAGCAGGAGCACCATGGAGATGCTCTGGCCAGAAAACAGAGCACCTCTCTTGGAGGACTGACTCCTGGCTTGCCTCAGCGCACGGGTCAGGGACTGTGCCCTGCCCCGCTTTTTTCACCTGTGGTTTATTTTGGATTTCCAGGTACCAAATTTTGAGCCTGCACTGCAAATATGTAGTGTGGGGAATGTTTTATTGTTCCTGGCATGCATCTTGCTCTGTCTCAAACTCCTTTGTAATGCCGCAAGAGGCATGTGAGTGCTCATCTGGATGCACCCTCAGAGTACATAGTAATTGTTGTTTATCTCTGGATCCCTCCAATTTGGTAATATTCTTCTAGTAATTAAATGTCAAAACCCAAACCTTCAGATGTATCTGAGCTGCACTTATGGGAAAACAAACAGGTTGCCAGATCTTGCAACTGGGTTCAATTACATGCATAAGTGAAAGCAACCTCTGTCTGCTACAGTAGCCAGGAGTAGCTGAAACACAAAACTGTAGCACTATCACCACTACACCTGTAAACATGGCCCCATCTAATCTTTCCAGATGAGGTACCCCCACAGCATGCTAAGGTAGCCCCTGCTAGTGATTTTAAAGCTGTTCTTGTGCCAGAGGTGTGGAGAAAAGCAACAATATTGCAGCAGAAGTCCTTTCAAGATGTGGTTGTTTCAGACCTATATGGAAATTACATTTTCTATATGTTAGTCGAGAAAGGGACAGAGACGTATTGGGGTTTCCACTGCGTATTTGCTTCATTCTTGGTGCAATTTGGATGGGCAGTAGTGTCAATGGGCATTTATCTAAGTAAAAGCTGAATAAACACAGAGAAGGATATCAGGATTTGGACTAAAACTGTTACATCCTTGTATTTCCATTAATGCTATACCTAAAAAAAGGAATCCAGTCTTTCTAGCAAGACCTCTCATCATAATCTTTCCTTAAAAGATTTTTTTCTCTTCATATTTTTTCAATTTCTTTCCTAGGTATAATTGCCAACGCATTCTCATTTTCCATTTCATGACAGACATCATTTTAATAACTATATAAGCTCATTTTAAAATACAAAGACACAAAAACACAGAGAACAAGGCTGAACAGAAGCAATTTACGTGTATTGCATTTAACTGCCTTTTGCAGTTCTTTATTAGTTTTGTATTCCATCCACTTACGGGCTTTGGTCTACTAAGTTTCACTTCTCTAAGCTTTAAGCGTTAGTCTTACCTCGATCCTAGGCAAGCTGTTCGAGAAAATTATTCTGGCACACATCCAGGAGGGGCCAGCAGGGGACTGCATGCTTAGGGGCAACCAACAACCAACCATCAGTGGCAGGTCCTGTCAGACCAACCTGGTGGCCTTTTACGATCAGATCACCAGATCATTAGATGCAGGGGTAGCAATGGGCATAGTCTTCCTGGACTTCCGGAAGGCTTTTGACACTGTCTCTCACCCCGTTCTCATTAAGAAATTGGGGGGCTGTGGCATAGACACCCACACAGTCAAATGGGTCGCCAACTGGCTGGAGGGCCGCACCCAGAGCGTGGTAGTGGATGGGTCCTTCTCAACCTGGAAGGACGTGGGCAGTGGGGTACCGCAGGGCTCGGTCCTCGGGCCCGCACTGTTCAACATCTTCATCAGTGATTTGAACGAGGGGGTAAAAAGCACCCTGTTCAAATTTGCTGATGACACTAAGATGTGGGGGGACGTGGGCACACTAGAAGGAAGCAACAGGCTACAATCAGACCTAGACAGGTTACAAGGGTGGGCGGATGAGAATAGGATGGGATTCAACACAGACAAGTGCAAGGTGATGCACCTGGGGAGGAACAACCGGCACCATACCTACAGGTTGGGGAACTCCCCTCTTGTCAGCACGGAGGCGGAAAAGGATCTTGGAGTCATCATTGACTCCAAGATGAACATGGGTCGGCAGTGTGGGGAGGCAGTTAGGAAGGCCAACCGCACCTTGTCATGCATCCACAGATGCATCTCGAGCAGGTCCAAAGAGGTGATCCTCCCCCTCTATGCGGCACTGGTCAGGCCGCAGTTGGAGTACTGCGTCCAGTTCTGGGCGCCGCACTTCAAGAGGGATGTGGACAACATGGAGAGGGTCCAGAGGAGGGCCACTCCCATGATCAGGGGACAGCAGGGCAGGCCCTATGAGGAGAGGCTACGGGACCTGAACCTGTTCAGCCTCCACAAGAGAAGGCTGAGGGGGGATCTAGTGGCCTGTTACAAACTAGTCAGGGGGAATCAGCAGGCATTGGGGAAGTCCCTGTTCCCCCGAGCACCGCCAGGAGTGACCAGGAATAATGGTCACAAGCTGGCGGAGGGAAGGTTTAAGTTGGACATCAGGAGGCGCTATTTCATGGTCAGGGCGGCTAGGGTCTGGAACCAACTTCCAAGAGAGGTGGTGCAGGCTCCTACCCTGGGGGTTTTTAAGAGGAGGTTAGATGAACACCTTGCTGGGGTCATTTGACCCCAGTACTCTTTCCTGCCATGGCAGGGGGTCGGACTAGATGATCTGCTCAGGTCCCTTCCAACCCTAGAAACTGAAACTATGAAAACATGCCATTGGAATACTTATCTCTGCCAGATATGCAAAGCAGCCAGGGGGGATTCTGGCTTTACAAAGATAAGATTGAAGCCTGAGGAACGCATCAGTTTCTGAAGAACGTGAAAAGAAAATGAAGCCTTGGGAAAATGTGCAAAAGCTTATTAAATGTTTCCAAACTAAAAGTCACAGAGAGCATTGTTGTTCAAAACAGAGCGTTGTTCTGCATTGCAATTAAGAGTAATTTAAAAGTTATTTTCAAACTAAATATAAAAATTTCTAAGATCTTTTTAATGTCTAGATTTTCAAAAGAGTTATTAAAAGATCGTTCCATTAGACCCACCTGTTTTTTTAATTTATCTTCTCTTTTTCTCCATTGATTCCAAACCATGTTGATTCTGTGTTCAGAAATAGTGTCCTGAACTCCTTTAAACACTATCCTTAGTCATTTTTGCCATCTATTTGATGGCTACATCCTCTTCCAGATGTGAGCACTTAACTCCCATTACTCTTTCTTGGGAAGTGAATTTAGTGTAATAGTATTGGTATCTTTAGCAACCCCTTCCTACTAGCACAAAGGAGTGCAATGCACATGTATCTAGACAAGAAAGTGTATCTATTTCCTATTTGTGAAAGGTTTTACATAAATCATTTTCTCCCTAATTTACAAGTACAACTTCTTATCATTAAATTGGTCAAAAAGGATTCAGGACTGAATTCCTGTAGAATCACCAAGAAAACATAGGGACTTTCACCTGCTGGTTAGTAATGAAACGCAATCCAAAGCAGTCATGTATTAAAATAACTATGGGTCCAGAGCTATAAAACACTAAAAAAAGCTCAATGCTTGGTAAAGTTTAATCACATTAATAAGATTTATATGTTTTCATTTTTAATTTATGAATTAGTATATTTAATTTATTTCATTCAAACACAAAAACCTAATTTCCATTGAACTAGCCCTAGACTTCAGTCTTAGACTGCTACATCTTTAACACATGGCAGTACTCTGTTAGTCCACCCAGGCTCCAAAGCTCCTGCAAACTGGGTACATCAGAATACATTGTCTCACAGTATGTGCAGAGGGTTCGACTCCTGTGATGACTCCTAAATTCAGGGATCAAGAGATCAGACACAGAAAACAAGCCCAGACCTCAGGTAGATAAAAAAAAAAAAAAACCTAATTTCCTTTGATCCTTTACTCTTCATACTACTGTATCTTGTAAGCATATTATGTAGGGGACACGTTCAAAAAAAAAAAAAAAAAAAGGCTCAGTCTGTGCCTATGTACACAGATTCAAGTGATCTGGGACTTGTGGTCCTGACAGAAAAACTTACACAGAGACCTCTGACAGACATTTGAATGCTGAGCTGCTGCACAACCAGGATGCCATTATGAACACATCCTAACCTGCTATGGAGACCCCCAGTACTATACAGGGTAGCCTTGATTGGCTGATCCAGATTGCTTCCTGGGCTCTGCCTCCCTGCAGCACAATGAGGGGTTTGTGAAGGGGCTCCCTGTATAGCTGGAGCAGTAGAGTTCAGCAGGAGAGACTTACTGTGTCCCTGGACTCACAGGGTGGGTGGGAGCTGACAGCAAAGCAGGCTGGGTTGCTGGGGGACTGTGATGCTGTTTCTCTTAGAAAGTTCATGTACAGAAGTTCACTCTCCCAGGAGCCATTTAACCCTGATTGTATCAAAATTATTATTCTCTGTGTGTGCCCCCTTTTTCTCTGGGAAAAAAAATCCTGAATTTTTGTACACTTGTGGTTTCTACTGGGAGAGCAGTTACTCTCTCAGAAGAAGCTGAATATGTATACACAGCCTATGGAGATAGTACAGTTTATAAAACTAGCAGTCTTTAAAAAAAAAAACCCATAATGTTGATTCTTCCTTACAATCAGTATCTGCAGCTATCCAATCCCTAATTATTTGTCCTGAAGTCTGAAGGCTGGAATTGATGCCAATAGCCAAAAGGTACATGAATATTGCATGGCAAGAAGAAAGATTCCAGAGTTACTGAGCATACTGACTGCAGTGGGGGGCGGGGAAGGAGGACACCAATGTGACAAAGACAATTAACCTCCTTGAATATTTCACAAAACCTAGCTGCATAGGTGACAGTGAAATGTTGCTAAAATAAAAAGTATGGAAATATCTTGCTGCCCATCGTGTCAGTAACTGTTGTTTTCAGCATGTTATAACATTTGGAATTAGACTTGCATGGGAAAATGAATCACAATAACCAGATAGTATTATAGGTACAGTCCAACTTTACTTAATTTCAAAATACAACCTGTTTTCTAAAGAATATGTGCTATGTGCCATACATTAAAACTATAGCAAACACTTCAGGAGGTTGTATATAAAAATCTCTCGTATTCATTTATAGATCTCTGGGGCTCTTTGTGCTAGTACATTCCAGATTATCTCTTGAATATATCTTCAAATGCTATTTGCTGCATAGCAGTTATATATAAAAGCAATTCTAAAACGCAACCTTTATATTCATCTGTGGCTTGGATTTCATCACAGCTTTGGAATAGGCTTCAAAATACTACAGTTTTAGCTTCTGATCCTAGTGACAGCTGCAAAAGAAAAGAAGATTTTTTCACATGGATATAACTAAATAAAAATAAAAACCAAACATTCTAGGTCGTATCACCAAGTGTAGCTTCTCTAAAGTAAATGTAGCTTCTCCAGTTTATATCACCTGATATTCTAACTGATAAATATAGATGACAGAAATCACAGAAATACAGATTTCAAGGGTACCTCAGGAGATAATCTATTCCAAGAGTGCACAACTCAATCTATTGAGGGCCACATATAAGCTATATTTGAAGTTTGTTGATCCCATTCTTAAATCTCCCTAAATAATTTGTTTTAGTGCTTATCTGTCTTTGTAGTTAAAACATTTTTCCTAATATTTAACCTAAATAAAACCACAGATTATGTTGATTACACTAAAGCAGCTACATTTTCTAAACTTCCTGTTTTTGTTGTTTTTCTGTAAACTCTTTCTTTCTTAAAGTGTAGTGCCCTGAACCGGACACAACAGTACAGCTGTAAATGTATTCCATATGATAGGTTAAATGTATCCTAAGGCATTTAAAGAGCTGCTTCTTCATCAATGCTGAGTAAAGCAGAATAGCTGCTGCCTCTTGTTTTACATTCAACACTCACCTTCAGTGCGTGCTTCACTGTACCCTGAACTCTTTTTCTTCAGTATCATTGTATACTCAGTCATTCCCCACTTCATATTTGTGCATTTATGTAGTAGTTAGCAAAGTAGTTGTGCATTTATCTAGTAGTTAGAAAGTAGTTTGTCTTTCTTGAATTTCATCTTATTCTCAGGCCATCTTTTCCAATTACCAAGCTAAATTTGAATTTTTAGCCTGTTGTACAGCGTGTTCACAGACCTCCCAGCTTGATGTCATCCACTTATTTTATAAATACACCCTTTATTTCATCATCTATGTTGTTAATAGAAATATTTAATAGACCCAGACCCAACACCAACCCTTGTGTTACCTCACTAAATAAGTCTTTCCTGTTTGACCGCAAGACCTGGATAACTACACTTTGAATACCGTTTTTCATTCATTTGGGTATCTGCCCCTCAGAAATTTCATTTAGACCATCCTTCTCCAGTTTGCCTATGTGAATGACGTGACTGAGTCAAACCCTTACTTAAGGCAAGATATATCACATCAACTGCATCCTCTTAATCCATTAGGCCAGTTACCTTGTCAAAGAAAGAAATGAACTGGTTTAATACGATTTGTTCTTGACAAATCTATATGTGCTCTTTCTTGCCACCTTATTATAGTCTAGGTGCTGACACATTGATTAACAATTTGTTCCAGTATCCTTTCAGGAAATGAAGTTAAGGTTGTCTCTTCTACAGTTCCTGAAACCTTCCTCCTTTTTTTTTAAGCACAGGTCATACATTTGACTTTCTCTTGTCTTTTGGGACTACACCCATCCTCAGTGGATCTTAAAGATAATCACTAATGGTTCAAATATTGCTTTGGCAAGTTCTTTAAATACTCTAGGATACATTTAGCCTACTATCTTGAATACATTTAATTTATCCACCTGTTCTTAAATGCTATTTCTGTGTTCTGTCCTGTTTCCCATGCCCTTGTTGTCAAGATTAATTGTGCTAGGCATCTGGCCAGTTAACCTTTTTGTGAAGACTGGATCAAAGAAGACTTCTCTATATCAGTTATTTATCATGTTCCCTATTTAGTTATAATCTATATCTACATTCTCATCTCATGTACTGTCTGAAAGACTTGCATTAATTTACCGTCATTAACTTTAATGGACCTACCCAGGCATAAATTTACCTGTAACCAAGTACCTAGTAATCTGAATACTTCATTTGCCATTCATCAACCCTATTCTTTTGTTCCTGTTCATTCAATACATTACATGAAAAAATACAGCCTTTGGGGGAAGAAATTTATCTTTGCATAAATTCTCTGAAGTTGTGTAAATTCTATAGCACATACTTAAGTACTATAAAATATTGAATAGAAACTGCAAAACACAAGAAGGAGAAAGAAATGATTTTTTTAATTAGGGAGATTCCTTACTAGTTGTCCTTTAAATTTGTGTTCTAAAGTAGCTGTATTTTTACTCTACTGTATGACTAAGTAGAATTACTATATACTAGTAGATACTGGTAGAAGGGACTGTAATTAACAGAGCATAATCAAACCAAATAATTAATTAAAATAATGTAGCTAGAACAGTCTATCACTTTATTGGAATACATGCAAAATGCTGTTAAAATTAAGTTAATGTTAATGTTGATGAAAATATATTAGTGGTTTGAGTATAATCAAGACAAAACTGACTTTAGCTTAAGCAAAAAAAAGAACATGAAAAAGCCAATACTTGACCTGGCAGAGACACAAAATTGTCTCTTTGGAAGCCTGTAGGAGAAAGATGGTAGAAGAGTGAAAATGAGTAGAAGAATATAAATACGCAGTACATTATATATCACAATGCTATGAACATTTCACTTGTAACTAATTTGACCCATACGATCACTTCCATCTTTCTAAACACAAAGTTCTCTACAGTTATGATCCCCAATTTTGTTTATTGTATTCAATATGATTATTCAAGTGTGCAAACATTAGTAGGATCATGCCTGTAATGGGCTTGGGGGTCCACCCCCAGCATCCGATAACCCCAGGTGGTCAGACCTACCCACTGCACTCTTCAGCCTCCCTCACCTCCTGTCTCTCACCATCTTTGCTGCTCCCCGCTCTTAGCTCTGTCCTTGAGGCTCCTTCACCCCCAAGTTCAGTCCCAGGTCTCCATACTTCCCCAGGGGTGCTCCACCTTTAAGACAGCCTCTACAGGGACTTATCAAGACTATATATGGTCTGGCAGACCCTAAACATGCTCACTGGTCCTCACAGTGCCATATGGGGTATAATTGTGACCTCTAACTGCCTCCATAGTCATCCCCTTGCCTCATAGATATTACTTGGTCCCAACCCAAAGCAGGGTTCTCTGGCCCCAAACCAACACTCAGCCCCTCAGGGCGCAAAACATATGTTTGGGCTTCAGTATCCACAGCTTCAGCCCTTTTTCAATGCCTGAGCCCCCCAGCCCAGGTTCACCACCTCAGACCTGGCCTTATCCTTTCATATTCCAGCCCAGAGTAAATCTCAATTTGTAGAGCACCACTGGCACCCTACTATATGGCCTCCAAACTTCCTCCATAGCTGCAACCTGGTCCTCTGGCCTGATTTGAACCCAGAATGCTAAGCAAATGGTTCAACTCAAATGTGAACTCTTCCTCGCGTCTCTACCTTCTATAGCTCTCCTACCCTATGAGGCAGGCTTGTTCCCCAAGCCTCCCAAGTACCTTGCTTAGACTGAAACACTCCTTCCAGCAGCCAGTTTTGTTCAGAATTCCTTCCCCTTTGGCAGCCAGGGCCAGACTGCCCACCCAAGTTCAGAGGCCAGGCTTATATGCACCTACACCCTTCTCCTTTCTGGTCACCTGACCCAACTCTCTACCAGCAGGACCCAGGAGCTGCTGACTCCCCAATCAGCATTTTTGCATTCTGTGGCCTGCAGCTCACTTTAAACAGGCTACTCACACCGGCTGCCCCTTGCCATTAGGCTTTCTGCAAGCTGTCCTGGTTTTGTTCCCCCTTCCTAATAACAGGGGTAGGGTTCCCCTGCTAATGTCTCAACTAGTAAAAAGCCATTTCAGTAGATAAGGTTTGGTTATTAACTTATGCAGTATCTGAATAGATACAAAGTAGCCTGACATATAATAATGTATACAACAATAAAGTTTTTACAGAGTATAAAACCTTCAGAAAACTACAGTTTAAAATGCCTGCCTCTGAGTAAGTTCATGCCTCTTTTTATTACTTGTATCAAACCAGTACAAAAGCCATGCCTGAGAAATGGATAGAATTCATTGATGATGGTAGTTAAAATGGCATAAACTGAATGTGAAACATCAACGTGTCAAATTTACATAGCACTGCTATCCTCTTAGAGATGTTGTATTTGAACAAGTGCCTAAATAATGTATTTCCTATAAATTTATCCAGAAGACATTTAGGAACAAAGCTTATAGGCATATGAACTATAAATCAATGCTTATTTTTTACAGTAATACCATCATAATCCAGTAATATTTTTTGTCATATTAGGGTAATAGTCATGGCAATGGCAAAAAAGTGTTTTCTGTGTTACATTCTTCTGGTTACAAACAAATTTTACTGAAGCCAGTAGATTTACCTGAGATTTACTCTGTTGCATGTGGACATATTTGGGCTCTCTAAATATTAATCATAGTTTTCCTTCAGCTTCTGGTCCATTTAAGAAGTTAATGACTATGCACAGGCAACATTTGCAGTTATTACTCCCTTACGTTAAGCAGCAAAAGCAGCAACTGTTAATGCTTGTTTAGGCATTAATTAAATTTTATTTCACTAAACCATTATAGGAACATTGAGTGGGACTAGTAACGTGGTGCTTGCTTGGTGAAAACTCATGAAAGTTAATGAGAGTTTTGCTTTATGGAGGGATACACACTGGCCATGTCTATACATGAACTTAACTGCAGAGTAGACTAATTAGCTGTGAAGTAAAGCATCACCATCTACACATGCAATGCTATTAGGCTACAGTAAACTAATTAATTCTGCTGTCAGGGACAGTACTATCTTACAGTGGGATTATTAGTTGTGATTAAATGCATGCGTAGACACTGACCACAGGCCTAAATTGTACCCAGTCAGCCCATCCAGCAGGGAGTCAGCCTCCTGCCTGGCCATACGACTCTGAACTTCTAGCATGCACATGCCCCAGTAAGCCCATCCACCCACTGATGCTGCCACCTGGAGCCTGAGGCTGACCCCTCCCTCCCACACACACTCCCTGCCAGCAGGGCAGGAGTGGCCTTAGTACAGACTGTTCCACCCTGATTCAAACTGCTGCTGTCCCAGGCACATGTGTAGACACTACACTCAGGAATAGTTTAGTCCAGATGAAACTGCTCCAGAATTTATTGCTTTGAATTAATTGCATATGTAGATGCACCCACTTTGACTCAAAATATTTTTTCCAAATTTAGAAGAAAAGCAAGCAGAATTACCGTTTCAGAGATCATTGTGCGCTCGGATCTTACAGTATCTTAGACTTTTTTTTAATTGTGTAATTCAGGAGTCTTTTAGCTTGCTATATGATGCTACATGTTGCCTGAATTCCTACATCCATTATTTAACCATTTACTACCTACTAGGCCCTTAAACAGCTCTACTATTTGAGCCTGGGGAAGGCCAGAGGGGGAATATTGACTTTGCTTTGCCAAATTACACACCAAACAGAGTATAGGTTGGCTATATATCTGGCAAAAGATTGACCCTTAAAATGTAATTTTTAGGACAAGGACTCCTTTATACTGTGGACATGTTACCCGCTGTGGACTTCTATGTATAGAAAACCTAAGAATGGTTACCATTAACAATATCTAATGCTGATCTTTGACCTGGGATATTCCATAGGGAAATATATACAAGAACAATGCATAACATCAGATTATACTAACATTTTCATAGGTTTTATATATTGCAGAACTTTTCCCATTAGAGTAAATCAGAAGACTAGCTTCAAGGGGAACAAGTTGTTATTTTTATAATCTCATGAACCTGCATGAATGATTGTGACTATCAGTGAACTCAGTGGAGCCAAGGAGCCTTCATTTCTTTTTTTTTTCTTTTCCTTTTTTTTTTTTTTGGTAAATCAGGACCTTACATCACTGGATACCAGATATTTATTGTAGATGCTTTAGAGATCCCAGGCAGAATAACATCAGTATATTGTTTAAACAAAATAACTCAGCTAACATCATATGAGCCTAATGAAGCTTTACAATGGAAACAAGATCAAAAACTTAATCATAATGGCACCTGAATCCCATATATTTTAATATAAAGGCAATGAGAACATATACTTAACAACAGCGTGTGGAAGCTTTTATTGACTCTGCATTGATATGTTTTGCACCGTGTCAAAGGGCAAACTCAGTACAGAGCATTATGAGTGCAGTTATAACACATGCATCATGACTTCAGAACTCTACAGATCTGTTTACTGTAACAGATGATGTTAACTAACTGGAATGACTGGCATACCTCTTAAGTGGATTTTAAAGCAGTGTCCCTCTGCTCTTCTGCAGGTATGAATCTCTCACTGTAGAGAGTGTTTTCAGGCTCTGGAAATTTTCCTTTGCTTGTTTCTTTGCTTTCATGGGTAGGCAGCAGGTTTGATTTGTTTTGTGTTGTTGCAGAATGAAGCTAAATATGCATAAAAATAAAGTATGGTTATTCTAATTATGACTGTATTTTCAAATGAGTGCTTCTTTGGTGGGGGGCATAAAAATGAGTTATTAAATGGAAGTGCTACAACCCCTCCATACATCTTCCCTCCAAAATCAAAATAATTTATAATTATGTGCTAATAATAATTCATAATTCATTACTGCCATGTTGATATTATTGATATTTTCTTACCTTTTAATTTCTTTACGAAAAAATATATCTGTAGATGATTTCAGAAAAAAACATATTGGTGTGAAAAGAGGCTAGAAGACAGAAAGGTCTGGGATTCTCATTATAGCACAAAGAGTCATGTCAGCTTTGTCACTTGAGTGACTTATGCTTCCTTCCATTCAACTGTACAAATAGGACTTTGCTAAGAAATATATGCCATAGCTAGGGCTGAGCCCTGAAGTTTATGAAAGCTATAAAAGGGAGTATGGAAAACAGAGCATAAGAGGGTACATTCAGCATACTTTGTCTCTCCAGTAAGGAAAGGGTTGTGATGTATTTCCATATTTCTGAACAAGTACTACTGCAGATGCTTAACCTTGATCAGCTCCTGCCTGTTTTTCTCTGAGGTGAAAGGCAAGTAGAAACGGCATAACTATTGACTTGAGGATTCCCCAGTGTCAAACAATAGCCAGGAAAAAAGTATTATGGCCAGAAAATGCTGCTATAATCCAACCAACAGAAAGTCTCTATGGGTTCATTCAGACAAGATGGGTGCGTTCTTGTAATGCTGCAGACGGATGCATTCAGACAGGAGTGCACCACATACTGCATATACCACATATGCAGAAATTGCCACACTGCTAATTTGCAACATGGTAGATTTTTTTGACACTGGAAGATCTCAGTATAAAAAAAACCCCGCATCTGAAAAAAGTGGGTTGGTGCATGTGGTGGCAGTGTGAGCTGCCCAAAACCAGAGCCTGGCCAGCCGGCGTCATACCCAACTGCCAGCCAAGCTCCGCACACCAGATCATTGCCACTGGAGCCCCAGAAAGCCCCCAGGACAGCAGGTAAGGCTGCTGGGGCCAGCCCGGGTGCTGGTCCCAGTCTCCCCTACTGGGAACAATTTGCTGTGTGCCACAGTGCACAAGTGTTCCCAGGTTCAAGTAGCAGTGGCACAACTATGTTCCACTACTATTTGTCCCCACTGAAATGCATTTATGTACTCAGCTGGATGTACCCTATGTGGCCATTACTGGCTGGTGCCATTCAGAAGAGTGTCCCTAATGTCCTCCAAGCCAGCTTCAGGATTGAGGATATAAAAATTGCATAAAGCCACTGTCTACCACACCCAGGTAATAATATCTCCTCCCCTGTCTTCAGGCTCCCCTCTACCCCCACAAGTCTACACCCACTGCAGCTACAAGCAACACACCTTAATGGGAAAGATACCTCTGATGGCATCCTCTAGACTAAGATTGAGCTCACTCTTAGGCTCCAGACATACCTTGGCCTCAGCTCTACTTCTCCTTAGACACTAAATTACTTTGCTCCCTGTTAGGATGGCCTGCATGAAGTTCCCAGCCCATGGTCCTTCGACTGTGTCAGAGAAAATCAGATTAAAACAAAATTAAAATAAAGCTTTTGCATAAGATGCCTCAAGTGAATACTTTACAAACCTTAGTGAAGGCAATTCCCTTTGGTTTTTTCCTTTGCTGATCACCACATGCAGTCCTGGAAACATTAAATAACCCACTGCCTATTAGATGGCTACTTTCCTGGGAAGAGAGGGTGAGGGTATAGAACTGTACCTTTACAAACTCTCCTTTCCAACAATCTTTTCCTTGTCTGCCTATATCCTTAAACCAACATGGTTACAACCTATACCCCTTTGCAAACTAGGATTTTTGTGTTTTCACAAGGTATGCAGTATTACTCAGTAATTCACTCTGTAGAACAGGACATCACCAGCATGGAGAAGACATTTTTAGCTGACAATAGCAATGTCAAGATTATCAGTGTCCTTTCAAAATTTTAATAAATTGGTTAATAAAAAGTGACCAGAATGTTTATTTAAAATGAGAAATATTAGCAAAACAGTTCCACAAATCTTAGCTTCATTTTAACACAGCTGTTCCATACCATACAAATCTTCAGAATTCAACACTGATCATCATCATTCCAGAAAATGGTGAAAACTCCACACTTTCAAGAGTATTTTCAGAAGCAGTACAGATTTCTCTATTGGATGTAGCATTTCTAGGAGTGTCTCATCCCAATGGTGTGCTGCCAGTACTTTTACAAAGCCTCCTAATTTTTTTCCTTCAGGTCTGCAAACCTTAATCTCCAGACAGCATAAATTGATGAGAGATGCAACAAGAGAACAAATTATCTGTCCATTTGTTTTTTCTCTCTATATAGCCATAAGCAAGGAAAAACATAGTATCAATGGAGAAACAGACTCTCTGAGCTATATATATGTATGCTTTACTCCTGAAGGGTACACAGACCCAATAATAATGCAGCAGAGTGATAAATGTGTATCATTTAACAATGTATAAGGAAAGGAAAAGACTTTTGGAGAGAAACCACTGAACTCCTCCAGGAATTTTTTTAAAAGTATCTGACATATCTCGTATCTGTTTCATTCCCAAGGGAAAGTCATACGATCTCAGAAGTACCTCAATAACTCTCCAAACATGATTGTTAGTACTGTACATCCATAAAAGGAACTACAAAGCATGCAAAGAACTACAGAGAATAAAAAGACAACATGAGTTGTAAATTCACTATGGAGTCTTAAAGCAAAGCCAGCAAGGGACTAGATGCACTCACCATTCTCCTAAATTTAAAAAAAAGGCATTATACAGGGCAGATCACAATTTAGGGAGATACAATGAGAACGAGAAGAAGAATTGCTCTGAGAAGGAAGAAGAAAGCTGTGGAGGGGCATAGATCAGATGTCAATAATCAAATAAAGACTGGAAAAGAAAGGGAAATGGACAAGATGAAGGTATAAGCAAAACGAGAGATGGAGCAGTTTTGGAAAAGGGAAAGCAGTGGGTAAGGAGTCAGATAGACATAAAGAATTACATAAAAAACACAAATGTGAAGATGATGTTTTGAAGTAGGTCTCTAAACCAAGAAAAACCTGATGAAAGGTGTAGGAGCAGGCACCAGTGTGGTAATGTGGCTCAACAAAACTCCTGATCGCTTCCATTAAGAACCCTTTCCAGTAATCCTGATTCAAAATGAAGGGCAAAAGTAGCCCCTCACCTTAGAGAGGGGTGGACATCATGAGATTCAGAAAATTGAAATGTTGGCAACATACGATTGAAAAATATCTTGCCTCACTTGGGGATTGATATTATACTCATTCAGAAAACCCCCGTGATTCATGTTGGATACAAAGGGGTATGCAGAAGGGAATGTTTTCCCTTGGAACTTTGGAGCCTGAGTGATTTATCCCTGAGCACGGGTCTCCAAATTCCTAAGTATTGGGTGGAATTGGGAATTTGTGGGGTGACATTCAGGTTGCAGAACTCCTAGTCAAAGTAGCATCAAATTAGTCCTCCTTGTTTTCCCCCTCCTATAGTAGGAGGGGGAAGGGAAATTGTAAGCCATGGTCCCCTAGCAACTTTGTTAAGGGTGATACATGTGGGGGTGTAACAGGGAACCCTATCCCTGTTACCAAGAAATAGGACAGTCCCTTTAAATCCAGAACCTTCCAGGCACAGCTGGCTGGTCAAGTCGGGGTTAAGGATGGAGCCCTGCCAGCTGGTCAGGTGACAGGAAGAGGAAGACCAGAACCATATAAACTGCAAGTGGAGAAGGCCAGGGAGGCAGCAGAAAGGGGGACTTTTGATGACTGTGGTGCAGCTGTAGTGGCCTCTTTGGGAAGAATATGCTATGCTGTGAGACAGAAGATCAATCACATAAAGTAAGCAGGCACTTTGCCTCTCTTATTTCTTTATTATTATTTTCATTATATGGCCATAGGAGCCTATGGTTTATATTTGATGTTAAAAAGGCTGGTGGTTTGTGGCTGAGGCTGTAGCGGTGGAGGAAACCTCATTAGCAAGGGGTGCTGTGATAGAGGGCTCAAGAAGCCCTGCTCTACTAGGGGTGCTGCACTAGGGCTGTGAGTCCAAAGTTCTTTGAAAGGGAGATAAGAACCTTGAAACTAGGTCCTAGGGGGTGGGCTTAGGCGAAACACCCTAACTACAGAAAGAGGGGCAAAGCTGAAGGGGGCTAAGGCCCCAACAGTCTGGCACCACAAGGGTGCACAGTGTAGAAGGGCCAGTAGGTCTGGTGTCACTGAAAGCATGTAACGGAGGGCCTTGAGCCTGAGTGCGTTAGAGAGCTAGAGCCTTGGAGTAGAGCCATGATTAGTGGGTTTTGACTAAAAGGCCTAGCTAGAGAGAGAGGGGGTAAGTCCACAATGGCTGAGACCCCAACATAAAGGGAAATATATAAAACCATCTGTGAGACACAGGGCACATCAAGGGGAGGTGGGAGCATGTATTTTGCCCTTAAGGCAACACCTCATTATCTTACGGGTGGTGAACCTGGAGCCTGTCTGGGAACCTGTGGGTCTGCCTCCCTCTTTCTTTAGAACCAAGTAACATCAAGTCATGGCAGGCAACTAAAGGGGGGAGAAGCTGATCCCCAGAGAAGAAAAATCCAGCAAGACTTGATAGAGGCACACTTACCAGCATATATATATTTTTTTTCTTTATTTTATTTTTTTTTTTTAATGCAGCTGAAGATGGCCCCCTGCGACAGGAGGAAAGGAACTGGAATTACAGCAACAAATGAGGGTTCAGTGCCAGCCTTAGAAAAGGCTGAAAAGTTTAGGAAGCAGGGCCAGTCTTTGAATTTTTATGCTGTCCTGAGAAATAGTACTTTATCATTCCCACTCCCAAACAATAAGATTTATGCCCACCATTTGGATGCCACTACATGTAGAACTACCCTGACAATTCAGGAAAAGGGAACTTAGTCAAATGATTTTAGAGGATCCAACTCCAACTTTGACTTATTTTCCATTGAAGGTGTATGGACACGTATGAGGAATCCCAAGCTTCCTAGTAAGGACTAGATTTTAAAATGAATACTTCCCATGGAAAAGAACTGAACTTGTTTTTAAAATGTAAACTATTCTAATCCCCTAAAGGCAGGCTCTGGTAACGAAGTGTGGGCTCACACATGTGATCTCTAGCACATTAGTTTCTATTCCCCATTATTACCTCCAGTCCTGTATTTTGTGGTATCCATAGACATATGACTGTCTGATTTTTTTCAAATCCCAGCTCATGTTTAGTGCTTTCAAATAGACTATAATTTCCCTTTTCTCATGATAAATGAAAAGAACTAGGTCAATGATGAAAATGCAATTAAAATTTGAGGAAGATCTTATTTATGTTGCTAAACTCATCTAAAAAACTTTGAAATAATTAAGAGAATTCTGCCTTTGGTATAATGATGCCTCAGTAGTCAATAGCCCCTCATCTCCTATAGTTGAATTCATGCTGTAGCCAATAGATAGAAAGTAGGTTATGCCTTTTTATGTGAATTTCTAAAAAGCCCTCCATTTTTTTCTTAATTAAGATTTTCACTTATATTTCAAAGCTTACAACAAAGTATCTGGTAGTTGATTAGAGTACACATGTTATTTCAAAGTTGAGACAAAGATTTAAGTTCATGTTGATAACCTTACAAACAAGCTGCCCTCTTTTGACAAAAAGGTTTTTTTCTATTTTTATTTTTTATTTTTCTCTATGCTTTTGCACACAGTGAATTAGCAGCATGTAGGAAAGGGCTTCAGAATCACTCAAGAAGTGTATTATCTGATTGTAGACATTATGGTCTTAGAGCTTAGAGCTGGAAGAGACTGATATTAGGTCACTGAATCCATTCTGCAGCAAGTATTATCTGATCTACTATAAGATATTAAACTGTTACTGCATTTTATCTTAGCCAAGAAAATGACAGTGGGCAATACATGATGCAGCTTCCTGTATACTGTCTGATGTATTTTATAAGAGGGAACTGTCACATTTTGAAAAACTCAACCTGTTCACAGTTTCTGCTACTTGCTGTGAAAGTAGTATTTTCTGATATTTAGAATAAAGAAAGCTACTAGTACAGTGACTGCAGGGTGTGAAATGTTTGTTTCTTAATGGAGCTCATTATATACATTTTAACAGTTCCCATTTGCAGCTATAAAATGTGTGACAAGTATGAATCAGAAACCTGAAAAAATGAAACATAATACTACCTGAATTTCTTATAAATGGCAGAGACACCAAAATGTTATTTCATTTGTTTGTTAATAGCAGTAAATCACAAACTTTTATGCGGTCCATGCATTGGCCCCAAATATTTTTGCACACTTTTGTACAACAGAGGGTACCATCTCTCATGGATATTGCAAGGAAGTCTAAGTTGGCATTTGTAGACAAGATACAACTAGAAATATAAATAAAACATTATTTGCTTACCTCCTTTGAGCTTAGTGCTTCATTTTCTGGAATAGGCACGATAGGATGACTGGGCTACAGAGTAGAGACAAGGACATTGAAGCAAGAGTGTACATGGAAAAAAATATGCAGGTGTGAATTACATTTCAGAAGGCAAAGTGATAGGGTCAAAAATGCCTAACAACTAAGGAGAACACTCTCAGATGAACAAATGGCATGGAGGCATCCAGTTCCCACTGATGTGCAGTAAGAGAGGGGTACCTTTATGCCTTTGATTACGTAGCCACACTACCATAGAAATAAAGAAGCCACTTCGAAGAGACACCTCAGTCAGAATCACCAAAAGGGAAAATCCCTACATAAATGTAATATTTGGTACAAGCCGTAACATTATTTGGAACTTAAAGTCATTGTATTTACAATATTTATCATTTACATTGTCTAAGATAGCTCTCGAGAGAATGTTCTTTAACCTTAGATTTAAAAGACATCAATCTTTCACCATTTAACTAAAAATGCTGTTTGACCTTAATTAGTCCATGCAAAAAGGTTTGTACATTTCTGTTTGAGTACTAAGGACCTAATCCAAAGACCACTGAAGTCGGTATATAGTCCTACTGATTGCAAAGGCTTTTGGATCAAGCCCTAGGTGTGCAAATAAACCAAAATATAGGTAGTTATACATTCAAAATTTGGTAATAATAGCATCATTATTTTTTGTTCTTATTCATAGATTCATAGATGTTAGGGTCAGAAGGGACCTCAGTAGGTCATTGAGTCCAACCACATGCCGTGGGTAGGAAAGAGCACTGGGGTCAAATGACCCTAGCCACGTGCCTGTGCAGTCTCCTCTTAAAGACCCCCAGGGTAGGGGAGAGCACTACCTCCCTTGGAAGCCCATTCCAAATTCTGGCTACCCTTACTGTGAAGAAGTTCTTTCTAATGTCCAACCTAAATCTGCCCTCTGTCAATCTGTGGCCATTGTTCCTAGTTACTCCAGGGGGTGCCCTAGTAAATAGAGCATCTCCTATTCCCTGCTATCCTCCCCTACGAATTTATAGGCAACCACAAGATCACCTCTCAGTCTTCTCTTGCAAAGGCTGAAGAGATCTAGGTCCCTCAGTCTCTCCTCATAGGGCCCTGCCTGCTGGCCTCTGACCATATGAGTGGCCCTTCTCTGAACCCTCTCAAGATTCTTCATATCCCTCTTGAAGTGTGGCACGCAAAAATGGATGCAGTACTCCAACTGCTGCCTGACCAGTGCTGCATAGAGGGGAAGCATCACCACCCTGGACCTATTTGTCATGTATCTGCTAATGCATGATAAAGTGCAGTTAGCCTTGTTGATCACTTTGTCACACTGATGACTCATGTTCATCTTGGAGTCAACTATGACTTCAAGATCCCTTTCTGCTGCCATGCTGCTGAGAAGGCCATTCCCCTGCCTCTAAGTGTTGTGGTGGTTCTTTTTGCACAGGTGCAGAACTTTGCACTTGTCTTTGTTGAACTGCATCCTATTTCATTCTGCCCATTTTTCCAACCTGTCCAGAGCCACCTGGATCCATTCCCTACTCTCTGGTGTGCTAACTTTGCGCCATAATTTGGTATCATCTGTGAATGGTATCATTGTCATCATCATTATTGTCATTGTTATTGTTATTAATAACATTATTAACAACAATGAAGATGATGATGATGATGACAACAATAATAATGATGCTGCTATTACCAGATATTAACAATGGTAATATTACCAGGTAATAACAACTACAGGTATTATTGTGAGATAATAATAATAATTTTGTAAAGTCTCTCTGAGCATATTGGATTTTGATATGTTGGAATGTATTCATATTTTCAGTGAATGCCAAACGTATCAAATAACTGTTCTGGCCTTATTATTGGTTCTGAATGAGAAATTAATATAACTAGTTCAATTGATCAAACAAGTAAAAAAACCCTGCCTTCATACTGAATAAAGAGTCTTGAAACTTTATTGAAAGAAGGAAACAGTGTATTTGTCAAACTGTTCAAGTAGTGAAGGTGCATCATGTAGAGACTGATACTTCAACATGTCCAAGGTAACAAAGGCATGATTAGTCTGTCACATGAAGTTTGTTTATGACAGTCAAAATAAGTCCCAAATGACTTAGCCCAAACAAGTGTCTACTGATTCCAAGTGCTATTTTGAGGTTATGTCTGATAAATAAGAGAGCTGTGCCTGAAATCAACAAATAAAACTGGGTGCTTTGAAATGAGACCTAATAAATGGAAAAAAAAAACTCTCTCTCTCATATATATATATATATATATATATATATATATATGTTTGCCCAACACTCCTTTTTCAAGTACATAATTTGATATCGACATCTAGAAGGAAGTGCAGACTCACAAGAGTCAGATTTAACATCATAGCTACCACATCCACTAGCTCCTGGATCCACAATAGCAGTGCTGGGTCTTACTCAGCCTGGTCCTCAAAAATCTCTTGACCAGATTGAGTGATCCTAGTAACTTTACCCCCTCTATCAGCTCTAGCAGTATCCTCAAAAACAACTGAAATATGAAACTTGCATTGCTGTTCTCACATCTCCCTCATGTCTGCTGTTCCTTCCCATCTTATTTCATTGCTATATCTTTGTTTCTTACTTCGTTTAAAAAAGTCTGGTTCAGCCAACCAAGACTGCTGTGAGCCTGTAACCAGAAAGGCAGATAAAAGTAAATCTTTAAACAACCTGATACAGACACAGGTTTGACAGCTCTTGGAGCAGCTGATAAGACTGTACACTTGCCAGTCTTCCTCTAGTAGCAATACTGCACCTTAAAGTAAGCACCAGAAGCGGAAGCTGCATTTTCTATCATTGCTGTTCTTTTGTCTCCCCTTTTCTGTATGTTTATCCTGTCCTGTCTGCAAGGAACCAGAATAAGACTAACATAAGGGCAACAGATGCTCCAGCCCATTGCATGTAACATTTTATCTGGTCCACAAATTAGGTATTTATTACCATCGTCAATATAGTCCAAAATATTTATTAAATTTGGGGCTTCCTTGTTAAAAACTAAAGGAATGGGCAATAAAGGATACTGGTAAAATGAAAGCCTTAACTAGCATATACCATTTCAAATGCTTTAACGGGTTTTCCTTTTCCCTCTATCTTTCATAGAAGTTCTAAAGGAGTTTTAATAGTGATTATTTGCCAGGTGACCAAGCAGACCAAGGTCTCTCTGCTTGAAACCCCAAATTTAGCTCATAGTTGGAGTGATGTACAATGGTGTGGTACTGTCAATACCTTTGTCCCTCTGCATTTATTTATTGCATTGCAATGAACACAACCAGTGGATCAAGTATTATCTCAGTGGGATTTATCACTTCTGCATCCCAAGAGATGTAGCAAAAAAAGAGTTAAATACCAAAACAAGAGAGACAGTCTTAACATCTTCCATCAGAAATTCTTTCCTAGCAACATAAACACTAAAAATACTGGCACCAAAAGATAAACTGTAAACATTTCTTTCACAATAGCTTAAGGCTCATCCATTTATCAAACCCAAATAAATTAGCACATGACATGCTTTCGTTAGCTCCGAAAGGGCATGAATATGATTGCACCCATTTAACAGTGAACATGCTGCTTATGAGCTGTTCATTATTTGCCATAATACAAAATCATATGCGACTTTGGTAAGATATATGCAATCAGTCTGGATCACCAGTGCAGGTGAATCACATTTTAATTTACCCGCTGGTCAGCAATTGAGTTCTCTAGGAGGTATGAATTGCCCACCACTTGCTCAGAAAAAGTAGCTCTGTAAGCAGGTGGTGAGCTAAGGTTGCAACTATCATTTGTCTCCATTAAGAAAAAAGACCCATTCTATGTACAAATTGTGCGCACAGCAAGTCCATGAAAAAAATGCTTTTATTACTGTGCCTTTGTACTGGTCTATCTTCTTGATTCAAATTCCGCACCTTATCGATTTTAAAATTATTCTCCAAGAGCAAGCCCCATCCTCCATATGTCACTCCTCATCCACTACAACAGTGCCAGCCTTCTTCATCCTAATCCCAGTCTTTATCTCCTTCTCTAACTCCCATTTTGAGCCTTCTCATTTTATAAATAAAATACATAATGGTCCCAACACAGGAAAAGAATTTACAAGCAGCTTTCATAACCTATCAATGCCCTTAAAGGAGACAGTTAAAAAATAGAGGGGATAATGAGGATTGAACCAGTTAATGAGTATTTCAGTGAAAGAATGAAATAAAGAATTCTAATACAGTCTGAAGACTTAGGGAAATACTGGATATAGAGTTCATTGAGGTCTATTATTTATAACTTCTATAATATACAAATGCTCGGCCACTATCACTGAAGACTGTGTCGTCTAGTCGTTAGCACTATGAACTGGAAATCTGGTGACCTGACCTGGTCACTGAAGAGCTGCTCAACCTTTGGAATATCACTTGAGCCTACAGCTACAAAGGACCTAAGGCACTTGAAACTGGACTTTTAAAAGAAAGAAATTCTTCCAACTCAACTTTTGAGTGTCTAACTCTTAATAAGGGGCTCATTTCCTCATGACCCAAATTTACTGTAAAATTATAGCAACCGGGAAAGAATAAAAAATCCTACAGCATGTTAAAATTATTTAAAACTATCAAAAATGTATAGCTAGTATGAGTAATTATGTTATTACTGCTTCTCTACTACTACACTGTAATATAGTGTTGCTAATATTCCTTCCTGCTCTTTGAGAGATTTGTGTTCAGTTCTCTACAGAGACTCAGTGATGTTGGCCATTCTATTCAATACCCATGTGCCTCAGATAAGAACACTTGATTTTGTTCATCTTTCCTATTTAGCCTTCAAGTGATATGAGCAGGGTCTTGCCTATCAGTCTCAGGGTTTTAGGCACTGTCATAATATAAATAAAAATACAGTCAGACCTTGATAATGTCATAAGGACGCAAGTGAACGAGACCTGTGATATTAATTTGAACCAACAGTAACTGGAGGTTCACACCAGGTGGCGCCTATTCCTGTTCCAATTGCTTCAAGGGCATCGCTATTGTA